TAGCTACTGAGAACGAAATGTCCATGTAGCACGGGCTATGGTGAGCCCGTCATGGCTACTGAGCTGAGCTGAGCAGATCATTTTTATCAGATATCCCGTCACCCTCACCTTCTACCCCTCACTCATCTCTCCTCCCCCCCCCCTTTCTCTAACTCCCTCTCTCCTCATCCCTCCCCTACCCCAACCCCCTCCCTCATCACCTCCCCCCCCCGTACCTCATCATCCCATCCTCACACCTGTTTCCTGTGCCACTCCTCTCAATCCTTCACTCACAGTTTAGCACCTCCATCTTCCCTCCTCCACTTCCTCCTTCCTCCACCTGATCTGATTTTTCTGATACTGGTGACATGTGCTCGAGATGGGAAATCTTGGGGGTGAATCTGGTCGTGAAGGGCAGGGGGGGGGGGCGGACGAATTCATATAGTAAGTATTAAAAATTATAGATAAGTCGTATTCACTACGTCGCGTGGACTCTCACACGCCCGCGCTCTCTCACATACATGCGCGCTCGCATGCACAATGTCACGGGGACAGAAGAGCCTCGTCGGGCCTCACCGCTGACACTCCGTCACTCTTCTCTACAGTACCATTACTCTCGCTCGTGTACTCACATTCCCCTCGTGATGAAGTCGACGCTTAACCCCTGTACCTAAACAAACATAACTAGGTCAATAATATATGTTCCTATCATAATATAATAATTATATTTCAAATAAACCAATTGGAAGCAATATTTTGAAAATAAAAAAAAATCATTCAACCTATTAGGCAAATCGGGACTTGCATAGTAAGCCGAAAAGTGTGTTATGGCTACTAGGTACGACATATATATATATATATATATATATATATAATATATATATATATATATATATATATATATATATATATATATATATATATATATATATATATATATATATATATATATATATATATATATGTTGTTGAATATGACCGAAAGGGAAAGATTAATGATTCTAACACGAATCTTCTCAATATTTTTCACATTTTCAAAGACAAATTTTATGTACTCCGTTTCATGCTTATTATTTGGGTGAGGTGAAATAAATGTGTTTGGGTGAGGTGATATAAATTTGTTTGGGTGAGGTGATGGAACACAAACCAATGGGTAAATCATTGGGTAAAGATAAATTTACATGGTCAGAACATGAATCAATGGGCACATTGAGTATTTTCACTTCTTGCTTCTGTGTTGTTTTGGGGTCTTGAAGTGGGTAGAATGTAATTATGTGTTAATTGGCTGTTGATTGCTGGTGTTGACTTTTTGATGTGTAGTGCCTTGCCGATGTCGAGCCGCCTGCTATCACTGTATCTATTGATAAGTTCTGTATTGCTTGTTAAGATTTCTCTGGTGATGGTCTGGTCGTGTGAGGAGATTATATGTTCCTTGATGGAGCCCTGTTGTTTGTGCATTGTTAATCGCTTAGAAAGAGACATTGTTGTTTTGCCTATATACTGAGACCTTTGGGGCTTACAGTCCCCAAGTGGGCATCTGAAGGTATAGACGACGTTGGTTTTTCAAGGCGTTCTGTTTGGTGTCTGGAGAGTTTTTCATGAGTAGGTTGGCCATTTTATTATTTTTGTAGTAACTTGTCAATTGTATCTTCTGATTTTTGTCTGAGGATAACATTGCTATTAAAAATATCTTTCGTGACACTTTTCTCCGTGTTATGAGCCGTCGAAAAGAAGTTCCTGTAAAACAGTCTAATAGGGGCTACGAGTGTTGTGTTAGTTGACTCTTCAGAGGTTGCATGGCATTTCATCTTTCTGATAATGACGTCTTCAACATCACCGTTAGAGAAGCCATTGTTGACTAGGACCTGCCTTACTCTACAGAGTTCTTCATCGACCTGCTTCCAACCAGAGCTGTGAGTGAGAGCCCGGTCAACGTAAGCGTTGACAACACTCCTCTTGTACCTGTCTGGGCAGTCACTATTGGCATTGAGGCACATTCCTATGTTCGTTTCCTTAGTGTAGACTGCAGTCTGGTAGCCACCATTCGTTTTTCGTGACTTTTACATCTAGAAAGGGCAGCTTCCCATGACTCAATTTTGTAACTGAAACTTAACACCGAATTTTGCTCGAATGCCTCCTTCAGCTGCTGCAGACGTCTGAC